CCCTCTCGAATAGAAGCCCCTGTTGAATAGAAGCCTCCTCAAAATTGGTATTGAAAATATAGAAGCCCCCGGCTTTTAATTGAGTGAGTACGGTATATGGTGGATCTATGGATTAGAAAGGGGTTTCCCCGCTGGAGTTCATGTGTAGTGTATATGGATGAGCTGTAGTGTGGAAGGGGTCTTAGCCATATCACCCACCGATTTGAATCTGTTGCTCTATGGGCTCTGGCTCTGCTAAACATGAGTACTTTCCTCACACCCCTGAGCTGAGCCCGTTCCACGCTATCCTCCTGGTGTTTCTTTGCTCAGAGGTGGACGGGAGTCATCGCTCCAGTACCGTTTTGACTTCTCGGCGCATTCCATTGAACTCGTCTCCGCTGTCACCTACTCCCCCAGCAAGAACTTGCTGCTTGTTGCTGCGTGCACGCAAACCAGTGAGTCTCTGTTAGAATAACCCTATTCCTGTGGTGGGCCGAAAGCGTTCATGTAGGACCAAACTGTTACAGGTTATGACTAACAATCCACCAAGGTTACGGGATCATGCACAGTCAGATACAGTCAACTTCGCTAAGAACGGCTGCGGATATAGCGACAATTCGCGAATAACGACGGACTTTCCATGCCCAGAGCAAAGTCCATTCTACCTGTATACATACAATGGGACTTCGGGTATAACGACACTTCGCGAATAACGACACTTTTCTTGTGCCCGGCCGAGTGTCGTTATAAGCGAAGTTGACTGTACAAGAGAACGGACCAAATGTGACGAGTTATGACTAACAGTCCACCAAGGTAACGGGATCATGCACAGTCAGATAGTGCGACGACAAGGCACACGGCGGAAGGTCAGTTTTGTGCCTCGTTGTCGCACTATCTGACTGTATATTATCATATCGTTACCTTGGTTACCTTGGTGGACTGTTAGTCATAACTAGTAACTTAAAGGTCCTTCCTCTAAAATACATTCCTGTGCTTAGGCATTTTTTTGAAGCAATAATTTTGTCAATACTAGATAATGTACGCATTATGTGTACGCATGTACACCCACATCAGCACTCAGCAGTGCGTAGATCTAATGAATGAAAGGCATTCCCTTTCTTTCAAGACTGGCACACAGTACTGTTTTCTTCTTCTTTCTCATTTGAAGATTCCAGAAACGGCACCAAATTGTAATTAATTGTTCCATGTTGTGAAGATGTTGAAGTGCGTTACAGTATAGGCCGATGTGCCCCTATCTTCGAGGACTGGGTTAGAGAGATACAAGTGTACTTTTCCATTCCCCAGCACTTGACTTCTTTTCCCCTTCAACCTGTTCTGTGTTTAGAATCTCACGAGAAGAAATCGTCGTCAGCTTCCGCTAGTAGTGGAATGGTTCAGGTGTCTGTCCTCGCCTGGAGACTGTTGGACTCTGAACCGCATTGTGCACGTTCTGTCGTCTCTGGAGATCTTGGATCGGTATGCTTGTGCTGTCGCTGTGTGTGTGTGTGTGTGTGTGTGTGTGTGTGTGTGTGTGTGGTGTGTGTGTAAAATAGCGATTCACTGGCCAGAAAAAGCCACTTCAATCAGCTGTGTGGTGAATACAAGGCTAACATTAGTGGTGGTCAATTCATCAGCCTTGCAAGCTGTTGAATGGTGTAATCCCAGCACAAGTTGCTATGTCTAACATAGCTGTTCGCCATCATCTCTTCCGCGATGGGAATGTCTGAGTCTGAGTCTGAATCTGAGTGTGGGCGGGTGTGGGTAGGTGTAAGTGTGCTGATCTAGCACTCATTTTTCTCTGCCTCTATTGATGAGACGTTGACCATTGATAGTCTTGGCAATGCATGTCCCCCCCCCCCCCCCACCACCACCACACATATACTTTCCTATCTGTGGGTATGCGTGTGTGTTTATTCTGCCGCATTGTCCGTCTGTGTATGCGTGCATGTGTGTCTCTGTGTTTGTTGTAAATGCCGCAGAGTCCGACATCCCAGGACATGCTCACGACTGTGCGCCGGATTCGTCTGTTTGCTGGTAGCGCTGGTGCCAATGTCGAAAAGGTACGGTCTCCTCCTTTCTCACCCTTGCTCTGTCAGTGGTGTTAGCAAGAGTACATAACCAAGAGTGTGCAACTACTATCTCGAGCTGTGATGTGTTCACCCGCAGCGGAATGTTTTCATTGCGTCATTCGTTGGCAGAAGTATGAACGGTGAGAGTTCTTCAGGTTCAGGACACATCGATCGATCGTCCGTTGTTCTGCTTCGACTATCGTAGCTGTGATGCACAATGCGTTGTACTCTGATCTCTGGCTACGCATAGTGGCATCAGGGAGCCAAACAGCCGCAAAAGACTGAGGTCGTTAAAGAATTCCGCCGTGGACTGGGGGATCGTCGAGTTGCACACTATGGGTTACTGTAAAGCGACAAACCTTCGCGGCGCGCAAATTTAGTGTTTTCATAAATTGGGCTGGTTCACGATGAGAAACCTTTGCGATTCTATCTCTTCAGTCGGATCTTGTACTGGCTACAATCAATGTACGGAGAGGTTTGCGGCGATTTATATTTGCGAATGTGTGATGGTCGCGAAAATAGCGAAATTTAATCTCTAGCGAAAGTTTCTCACTTTACAGTATGTACTGGCGGTGTTAGCAAAGTCTTTTTCTTGTTCTTGTCAAAGCCCAGGTCTTTCTTGTCCAGATTTGTTGAGTCCAGAGATTTTGGTTGTGAAACTCCAGCACTAGTGCTGTATTTTCCCGATTATACAGGGCATGGTTTACTCGAACCCAGGTGCATAGCAGAAAGTGCTACACACTTTCACGTTTGTATAGCAGTTTTTCATTTTGCATAGCAGTTTTCCCAAACATTTTTTCCGTACGCAGCGCATGCGCTGGATCATGGCTCCACGAGCCGACAAGCTGGATAGAGGGAGTTGCAGGTTGACGGAGCTACACTGCAAATTATTAGACAGTGCAGCAAGCGGTGTTTGCATCACGTCGAATGCCACTAGGTTGCACACGAACTTGAAGCTAGTCAACTGCTTCAAGCAGCATCTGAATCTTGCACTGTCGACAGTGTTATCCTCAGCCAAGTTGCGGAAATGTTGCACAATGACTGGGTAGCAGCTGATCAAGGCGTGACGGCCTTCCTCTTATGCTGCAACCAACGGGTACCATGGGCATTCTGAGGCTTGATGATGTGCTCCTCCATCTCCTCAGCAACACTGTGTAGATCACGGAGGCGCTGGAGGCTCTTTGTGGACACTGTGTAGATGACGGAGGCGCTTGCTTGTTGCTCTTTGTGTACACATAGTAGATGTTGATCAGCATAGTTGATATTTCTTCCGAATACGTTTTGCCAAAAGCATCCTTGGCTGCCAGCTCCAAGCGGTGGTTGAAGCAGTGGACTGCAACAAGCCAGGGAGGGCATGGCGTGCTCAGACCTCAGCAGAGCTGCAACACCACGCGACGAACACCCATGTTGACTGCAGCGCCAGCCATGCAAAAGCAGACAAGTTCAGTTTCTTGCCAATCATCCACTCCAAGTGAGAGGAAAGTACTACGCAAACACTCGATCACTCCAGCTGCTGTCCCACTGCTGACGTCCTTCAAGGCAAGGAATCGAGTTTGGACTTGTCCATCACATATGAAGGAGATGATAATCAGTTCCTTCTCCACAACGCCGCTATCCGCTGAGCCATCGATGCGCGCGGTGAGAAATGGTGACTGCTTCATTGCCTCAATAACATCGTCGCGCAATGGCTTCGCCGATCGTCGAAGTGAACTCACTGCACGTGTTGGCCGTGCAGTACGTTGAGCCAAGAGACACGCCATGTTCTTCTCCCGCTGGATTAGAGCAGGGTACTTCTCGAAAGGAATCACCTCCGCAGCAATAAAATACGCCATCTCGAAGAACTTCGACACGCGACAGCGGTCCTCAGCTTTCGCACTGGCAACTGCTTTGCCAAGCGGAGTTGACTTGTAGATGGCAGTGAGCGACATGGACTTGTTCCTCGCCAAATTCATCGCCCTCACATGCATGTCTGATTTCGAGTGCTTTGCTACGTTGTCTTTCTTCAAAGCACTGCCCGAAATCCCATCCACGAATGCTTGACTAAAATTCCGGAGAGCACGGAGAGACGATGCATTCTCACGGCAAGCTCTGCAGTGGATACCGGTGACACTGGACGGGCCACTTTCAACCACTACCCACCCCTTCTTGGGGTCTAACTCGCACCTCCATTTCTCCACGGTGCTTGATCGCAGCGACGTTTTCCTACTAACTGGTACTTAGAAGGGAGAAAGTGAAATGCGTCAGAGGACTCTACGATCCGTGCAACCAACGAGTACAAGTACAGTATACGACTTGCAGTTGAAAGTCGGGGTCCCAGGTGCGGGTTTGGGTGCTACCGTACCGTACCGGGTGCTCAGTACATATGGTACAGGTGCCAAAATGCAGGTGCCGAAATGCGGCATGCATCGCAGTTTCTTTTGCTCAACCACTCTGACATTGCATCGCACGTAGGTGCAATTGCGTTGCAAACTGCGATGCGATACCGGATACATCATGCCCTGTTATAAGTCGCACTCGATTATAAGTCGCACCCCCACTTTAAGCTGTGAGCCATATTATTTCTATATATCCACATACCGTATGTCAGCGCCTTCAAAGCCATGGCCTTATATTCGAAACACCGCTGCTTTCCTAGCTAGTTTAGATGCAAAATGACTCACCCACAACGCCATGCCATAAAAGTCAAAGTCCACAGAGAAATTTCACTCTAAATCCACTTGTTCACCCTTCCTGCTGGCCTGTAAGTTTGTTAATAGTACTAGTCTTATTCCTTCACTTTTAGTAGGAGTAGTTAATTTTCTACAAATCAAACATACTTCCAATGTCGTTTCATTTATGAAGCCCATGGCTGTATACTTGAGACTGGCGTTAGAATCGAATATACCTCCATGGCTTTAAAGGTGCGGACATACGGTAAGACTTACTGTATTTCCCCGATTGTACCGTATTTTTCGGAGTATAGTGCGCACCTTTGTATAACGCGCACCCCCAATCTTCATTGGGGGTGCGCACTACATGCATTTCATATTCGGAGCATAGTGCGCACCTGCGATTTAGGGCCTAAAATAGCACATCTAAAGTGCGCACTATACTCCGGAAAATACGGTAAGTCGCACTCCTATTTCCAGGTCCATGTCATATCGTTTCGGTATATTCACTTCAGTGGTAAGTGATCATGCTCGATTGTAAGTCTCACGCCCCTTGGCTGACCGTTATTCGAGTGTAAAAAGGTGCGACTTATATTCGGTGAAATTTGGTTGTAGGATGTCACATTCCATTGTAAGGCGCATCCCCTTCTTCGCCCTGGAAGTTTAGTGTGAAAAGGTGTGACTTATATTCGGGGATATACGATACTGTTATTTCAAATTGTTATGTATGCGGTCCAAAGACCAGGTTAGGGGAACAGAAATTTTAGGTACAGTGACCCTGGGTCGATGGGTATGAACTATCTTGGCTAGAAAATACTTTAAATGCATGTATCCAGAATCTATCCGTTGCTCTGTGTGTCAAGATATAGTGTGCTGCTGTTGCTGCTTGTCTGGGATACGAGTGACTACTGTGATGCCTTTGCCGCTGTTCAGACTGTCAGCTTACGTTGCTCTCTCTCTCTCTCTCTCTCTCTCTCTCTCTCTCTCTCTCTCTCTCTCTCTCTCTCTCTCTCTCTCTCTCTCTCTCTCTCTCTCTCTCTCTCTCTCTCTCTCTCTCTCTCTCTCTCTCTCTCTCTCTCTCTCTCTCTCTCTCTCTCTCTCTCTCTCTCTCTCTCTCTCTCTCTCTCTCTCTCTCTCTCACTCTCTCTCTCTCTCTCTCCCGCTCTCTATCCCACTCTCTCTCTCTCTCTCTCTATCCCCTGTCATTGTCTTCTTGTTGCAGGCTGTAATAACACACATGGCTCTAAGTCCGGACGGCAGTACACTGGCCACGGTGGACTGCGGCGGTACACTACACCTGAGAGATGTGCCATCACTGAGAGTGACACACACGTATTCCTATGCAGAACAGGTCAGTGGGCACTGATGGATGGAGACTGTTACAGTCCATTCATAAAAAGATGAGCGCTGGCTCTGACGAGCTCCTGTATTTGGCGAATTTCGTGATTTTATCGCACATGTTCTCTTGGGGCAAAACCTGGCCGAAAGCCTATTCTGGTTATGACTTGCTTTTCGGAGAAATCGACTTCAGAGACATTATTGGAAGAGCATTCCAGGGGAATTGCGAAAAGAAATTGTAATTTGACCCATTTGTAGCCTAAAGCTAGGATATCATCTTTTTTATGAATGGACTGTCGGATTGTACTGGATGTTGGGGTAATGTTTTCCTGTATTGCGCACATCCTCACTGCCTGTTTGTCTTCTCCTGTCTGGCTTGCATCTGTATGTGCAGTTCCCGGAAGATCCAGCAAAACTCTCGCTGCCCAGCTTTGCTGTCAAGAAGAAGAAGAGTGAGTTTGAGCCCCCTTCCGGTGCATCGTCAAGAATTCTGTAAAACCGGAAAATTTCGGTGGAGATTTATTTTCGGTAACTTCGGTATAGGAAATTTTTCACCGAAAATAAAACGCGACCCAAAATTCAACAATGCCATGCCACACAGTGTGCAAAATGCAATTTTGGATCTGGAAAACTGGTTTTCTGAAAAATTTCGAGCTACCGAACCGTTGATTTTGGGAATACCGGAAATATTACACGAGCGAAAATTCCCGGTTTTACAGTACAGTGCCAGTGAGGAGTACAGTGGCGCTCAATGAAATCCAATCGCACGCGCGTCAACTGCACTTCGGGTGGTGCTGTGCAGCCGTAGACCTGCGAACACTGGGATGCTCACTGGTGCAGGGCACGCAGCTGACTTACGTGATCGGATTTCAGCGAGAAGTACGGTACTATCAGGTGCTGACGAACGGAGCGCTGTAGGCTAGAATGTTTACCAAGCACAGCATACCAATGTATACACGGTGACTCTAACTGTGCATAGACTGTAGTAGAGTAAAACTTGTCAAAGCGACCACTCGGATAAGGCGACAACCTGTCCCAGAAGACCACTGAAACCAGGATCAAGGGATGCTATTTCCAGTCGAATGACTCTAGGTAAGGAGACCACCTGGTAATGGAGACCACATTTTGAATGTCCCTTCAGTGGTCGTCTTAGACAGGTTTCACTGTACATGAAATAGGAACGATCTAGGCTACATGGCTGACCCCCCAGTTCTTTGGCGACCGACAGTACTGTGCCGAACACAAACCAGTGTGTGAAACTCCGATACTTCAGTGCTTTATTCTTTACGAAAGGTGGCCGATGAATGGGTCATGCTTTCAATATAGCATGCTTGTCAAGCTCTCCCTGTTGGTGGGTGGGTGCGCGGGTGCGTGCGTGCTTTGGCGTGTGGGTGTGTGCGTGTGCGTGCGTGCATGTGTGTGTGCATGTGTACACCTGTATTTTTACCTCGTGTGTTTGTGCAGAGGAGTTCTCCAGCATCATGAACGTCTTCTCTGACATCAGCTGGTGGTCGGAGGAGGTGAGGCGTTTGTTCACGGCCAGAGTTTCTAATCCCCGGAGTGTGCAAGTCTGCGTCGTGTTGTGTCGCAGTAAAATCCAAGCGTTACGTTATGCAATGGCGATGATCGCGTACTAACGAGGTTGTACGACTTTACAGGCAGATCTGTGATTGTCTTGTGCACAACACATGCCTGCTGCACTGGCCTGTTTGTACTATCATGTGCTAGCACTCGTGTAAGAATGTTTGCATTTCGCTGCTACAAACCCTCCATTACGCTATGCAAGGGCGATGATCGCGTACTAACGAGGTTGTATGACTGCCACAAGCAGATCCGTGATTGTCTCGTGCTCAAAGCATGCCAAAGGCCCGTGTGTACTATCATGTGTTAGCACTGATGGAAGAATGTTTGCATTTCGCTGCTACACACCCTCTATGAGCAGCACAGTACAAGCAAGTGCGAATTGGATTGTGACGCTTTGCCTCCACATGGAGCTTACAGCTTATATGCTAGTGCGGCTTGGATTCCGGAATATTCGATGTGTGTGACAATGACACAGCGATCACTGTTAATCAGACTCGGATGGGGAGCCAAGGATTAAGATCCAGGACAGAGGACCAACGGTTTACAAGTTATCCGTTAAGCTCAGTTGCAGCTTATCATCAGGTCGTTGAATATCAGTATCACTCAGTCAGTGTTGTGCTAATCATTGCATGTTCTGACTCACCCGTAGGTATCTTGCTTATAATTGTCAGCGTTGGACACAAAACGGATAACTTCTAAACCTTTGGTCCTGACTTTTGACCACTGTGAACTCGCTTTTCTGCACTGTCCAGGCTGTGATTCTTGCATGCGATCGTGGTGACGTCGTTGTCTCGTCGTTTCCGAACAAAGAAAGGTCTGTACAGTGCATCTGCAGCAATGGTTTGTACGCATTTCTTTATCTACCCACTCTCCGGACAGCTAGCTGTTTCGACCTTGTTGGGTGTCATCAACGGAGCTCAGAGCCACTGGGCAAACCGATCGCAAAAGGGCAATCATGAAATAAAGAGTATTAGTGTTAACAGCGAAGATTTTTTGATATCTGCTCCAAGCATCACTGTCAGAGTGCTCGAACTCGGGGATGAATTTACTGCTATATTTTTGCATAGCAGTTTCTGCTATACAAAATCACAATTGTGTAGCAGTCTTTGATTTTGATTAGCATTTTTCTTTGAAGGTTGGGTGTTTACCACATTGTCCTTCTTGAGAGTGATGCCTGAAAGCCCGTGTGCAGAAAAACGACTGAAGCATACATGTGCACGCAGATTGAGAGTACATGTACCTGCACCACATACACTGCACTGTATGCATGTTACTTGACAGCGCAGGCTAGGCATGGATAGCCTGCATCATGTGTACGTATCGCAGTTTTCTGCGACTCACGGTGACTTTTGAGTAGCAGTAGATCGAGTTTGCATCGCAAACTGCGACGCGATACAGGATAAATTCAACCCTGGAACTGCAAGATAACTACTTACACATTGAGCTTTTCACGAGGGCTTTTTCTTTATCTACTGGTAATCACAATAGTTAACACGTCGTGACAACCTGGCTACAACCTTGTGCACACGCACCCGCTGCAGTAAAACGCCACCTTTATTTTGACATGCCGATCATTGGTGTCGTTGTTTGTTGTTATTGTTCTCGTCTTTGCGTGTTCTTTGCTGTTGTCTTCGTCTTTGTCGTTGTGGCTGTTGCCCATTCCATTCGGCTGCTGTTTTCGGTTTGTAGTCTGCACAATCGGCTTGGGGTACCTGAAGTGCTGGAGCCGTACCCTGCACTCGCATCGGTTGCTGGTGCTGGTGGCTTCTATGCCCTAGAGGTAAGCATGCCTGTCAGTCTAATCTACGTCCGGCTGCCTGTAGTGATAAGGTAGCATTGGTTAAGGACATCAGGGGTGAATTCAGTTGGTGAGCCAAGGCATGAAAACGGGGACATGGCGCGGGGCACAAGTTTAATATGCCCTAGATTTAAGAGTACCTACCAATCTGAAGTAAAAGTAAAATATCAGCAACAACAACTGCGGGAACACAACGCGAAGACTCCCTTGATCACTGTCGGGAACGCGCAAGAAACCTGTTCTGCTCTACGTTCATGCAAAGACATCACGTGGATATGTGTACTGGGAATTTCCCCTTTCTGAATTCGGCCGTTTTCTTGCTAATTTGAATGAAATGCAGCAAATCCGTACGCGTTTTATTTGCGTGTGCCACAACGTAGAAAACCTCATTTTCGTGTAGAGATCTGGACCCAAAGCACACGAAGCCACAGACTCTAACCCAGACTCTTGTTCTAGACGTGATTTCTCTACGTTCGTTTTGGACAGTTTGGCATCCGAAACAGGAGACGGGTGAAAACGTATCAGTTAGTTGAGAAATGGATGTAATTGTGCATTGGGTGTAGCTGTTCAGGGTCATGCCATCCGAACGAGTCTCCTTTTTGAGGGGTTGCCAACCCGAAACAAGCCTATTTTTTGTTTTGGCCTAACATCTATATTTTATACCCCGTGAATACACAGTGATTTATCCAATAGGTTACGAATACTAATTCTTCGAAAGCGAAGGTTTGTCGTATCGGTGGTCTTCTTAACGAGGGTCCACTGCATGTAGACGAGTATTCTGTCGTTCGTCGATGTCCTCTTTCCTCTCGTATGGATGCAGTGCGATCGGCAGTTGGTGTCGCAAGACCGGCCTCGCCGTGCGGACTCCAGAGACGTAGCGGAACCGGTGTCCTCCGATGAAGGAGACGGCGGTGCGGCAAGAAAGCCCAGGGAAGAGGACGGCGACGATGATGACGACGAGGAAGAAGAGGACGACGAAGACACGCCTCTCCTGCGCCGCCTGACCCGACGCTCCGCTACGGCTGGGAAGCAGGTAAGACACGAGTTGTAGATGGAGCGATGGTGGGGAGTGAGCGTGTTTCGCCTATGATTACTGTAAGACCAGATATTTTAACGTCAATTAAAGTTAACGATCTCCGGATTTTAGTGGGTTAGCGAGGTGAAATTCTAACGAATTCTGTCTCAAAACCGGCAAATGACTGTACATGTACATCTCGTTTTGCACATAACGACTTCAAAAGTTAACGATTCTTTCAAATTCGTTAACTCGTTAGAATTTAATGTTCGTTAATATTACTGGTCTTACAGTAATATCAAGTCCTACTGGACTGGCTGTTTACACATACACATACAGCGGAGGCTGAAGGCTGTGTAGCTGTAACCTCAAGTTTCACACATTTCAGCCGTCATCAGACAGCAGCATTTGGCATTCAAGAACTGGCTGATTATGCAGGTGCAATTGTTCCGCCTCATCCAATATGTATATATTGTAGACCGGTTTAGGAGGTCTATTATCTATACAGTCATATTTGACCGCTTAGAGATCGCAAGTTTCTGTGGCGGTCAATAATAAGAGAGTGATATTGGAATGGTAAGACGTGAGGTGTAGATGGGACGATGGTTGGGAGTGAGCGTGTTTCGCCTAAGAAATATCAATTCCTACTGGACTGGCTGTTTGTGGCACTTGCTTTGTCGATGCACCGTCCCTGGCGATAGTTTCTCTAACACTGGCCAACCATGGCAGTGTCGGATGCGACTAAACGAATGCACCCTGTGCTTATTCTTCTGATAGTTATGATGTACAGTTCACCTTTGCCAGGTTGACAGTATGCTGTGGAATAGTCACTAGATCTGAAGATTGTGTCGTTATTCATGGGTTGTTGTTATACAGTCAGACCTCGCTTATTCCGTCGTCTTTTATCCGGATCCCTCGCCATCCGGAAGAAAATCGTTGATTACCGATTTACAGCATATGCCATGTATACATACAGTGTGTGTGTTCGATTATCCGGTTCCCTCTCCTAACCGCATATTTGTTTGTGGAAAACGGATGTGGGTGGTTAAGCGAGGTCTGACTGTACCCGAGATCATTATTCACAAGGTTGACCTGCCTGTGAACTGCGCGTGTATGTTCTGCTGCTGCCTGCACAGATGCTGTACTATTTGACGGAGAGCGATCGCTTCAGGACCGAGCCGAAGCGGCCCAAGTAAGACATGCGGCTGCACTGGCGTGGAATGAGAGGGCGAGTGTAAATTTCAGGACAAGAGTAGATTTCTGGTTGATCCGTCAGTGTGACATTTGTACTCCTAGAACTGCTATTTTCACAGACTTACATGTCGTGTATTACCCAAGTGGAGAAAGTGATCATATCAATTCACAGGCTGACGGGCACTATAATTATTACGATATACCGTAAAGTGGCGGATAAGAGCCGGGCTTATAAGCATATAAGCCGCTTTCTGCATTAGGCTTTAATGCAAACCAGGCTTCTACGCACGACACGCGTAGATCTACCACTGACTACCGGTATGGCGGCAGTTTTACTATGCACTGTACATAGCACATGCACTCTTGACCTACCCGATCCGCGCTTGCATAGAAGCCAGGCTTCTACGCGCAACAGGCTTATACTGTAAATATACAAATTTTCGGCAGCTATTTAATTTCGGCTATATTCGGCACCGACCCAAAACGCCTAAATTAAAACGCCGATGAAATTTTCACAGCATCTGTCGCACTATACCATGCCCTCTACCCCATGCCGAAAATAAATCGCCGCCGAAATGTCAAAAATCGTGAAGTGCCGAAATTTTGTTTATTTACAGTATGCATTTGACCCGTGTGATTTTCAGGCTTCTATCCGCGATGTGCTTGTATGCAAACCCGGCTTTTATCCGCGACTTTACGGTATAGTGCTCATCAGCCTGTACAGCTTCACCGGAAGCACGGGTTTTGAAGTATGAACAAAAGCTGCCGATGCGAATGTATTTGCTTGGTGTGTTCCTAAACACGTCAGGTGATGCGGCCGTGAATCCGGCTAACTTTACTTACAAGTTACAAATGTTGAACAGTCTGTGTTTGATTGACGACAAAACCATAGCTCAGTGGCCAGGCATTGCTCGTTTGTAGTGAAGGTCCCTGATTCGAGTCCTGGTCGTGACACTCAACATTTTTTTTGGACTCTTCCTTTTCGGCCCCTTAAACTGATGAATTGTGTACGAGTATTATTTAAAAAAATATGTTGAGTCCAACATGCATTATAGAATTTCTGTAAAATGTAAATCTTGGACACTGATGCGCTGTATCTTGTGCATACTTGTGATCTGTTGCCGTATTGCCCAGGGTGCCGCAGTTCACCTACCGTCTGTTCAGCCTGCAGTCGCGCACTCCCGAGGAGCTCTTCTATCGACGGGTAAGGAGAGTCCGGTGTCGCGGGGAATTTGTGTGCGAATTGCTTTTGATGACATGTACCGTATTTTCCCCGATTATAAGTCACACTTGGTTGGCTGGGGGGGGGAGCGCACTTCACCTCACCGGCACAGCTTTATAGCACCTACACGACCTTTGTAATCCCCTATGTTCGCCTGCTGTTGTTGTTGTTGTTGTTCTCTTCCATGCTATGTAGGCATGTGCACTTTCATAAAAAAAAACTTTATGGGTCGCATCCCCATTTTCAGGTTCGAGCCATAATTGTCAATGGACAACTGCTCTATTCAGTGCAGGATATGACAGGATCGAATACATTGAATACAAGTATTGAGGTGCCTGTCTTTAGATGTTTGAGGAGCTGCCTTTTTTCCTTTGCCGACTGTTGTTGCAGATCACTGCTGAAGAATACGGCGAGGCACTGCGCTTGGCACAGTGTTACGGCCTAGACAAGGATCTGGTCTACCAGAGCCAGTGGAACGCCAGTTCTGCATCACCTCACACTATCCAGGATTATCTGGTAGGTTGTGTGTGTGTGGGGGGGGGGGGGGGGGGGGTCGTTTGTGCCTGTGTGCGTGCGTGTGTGTGTGTGTGTGTGTGTGTGTGTGTGTGTGTGCGTGCGTGTGTGTGTGTGTGTGTGTGTGTGTGTGTATGTGTGTGCGTGCGTGTGTGTGTGTAGGTGGTGGTGATGGTGGTGGTAGTGGTGGTGATGGGGCGCCCTTTCTTGCATTCATGTGTCGCTGTCACTCTGAGTGCAGAGGTTAAAGGGGAAGTTAAGGCAAAAATTAAAATTTCACCAGTTGTAGTCTTCTGGGTGCTGAGTCGAATGGTCTTGGTCCGAGAAAGCTGAGACGCTCCCTTCCTACTTGAATCCCAATCGAACTCGCGCACTTCCACCGAAACTGGGTGACTGCGCCCTACTACAGGTCTACTCTCCATATAACGTAATCTCTGGGACCACGCAAAAATTATGTTATATCGAGAGTTATGTTATGTAGAAAACCGTGTGTAAAATACAAGATGCACCTCAAAATGAAGGGTATTACAAGGCGGGTTCAACCGTGCAAACATATACACACTGTACCACCATCGACATCAGATACCATCAATGCCGCAGAATATAATGCACATAGGACTAAACTGGCTAGCTACGGCTACAGCTTGATTGTGCCGCGCACGTGAATCTACGTTGTATCGAGAGTGTACACGTCGGGGACTGCGCCGTAGGGTGCGTTATGCCGAGGTTTACGTTATGTAGGACTAAACTGGCCTAAACTGCCTAGCTACAGCTACCGCTTGATCATACCGTGCACGTGAATTTATGTTGTATCGAGAGTGCGCACGTCGGGGACCGCCGTAGCGTGTGTTATGTCGAGGTTTATGTTATGTAGGATTATGTTGTGTAGAACAAAATTTGTATGGGAGTGATGCTGTTTCGGCGCGGGATTTGGCTTTTTTATGTACTAACGAGGTTTATGTACAAGTGAGAGTTGTTATATCGAGAGCAGACCTGTAGATGGGGATTTGTATGCAAAATGTCACTAAAAGCGCCATTTCCTTCTTATAAAAGCACGGATGACCGTGATTGGCCCATATGTTGTACTCTTTTGGACGCTGAGTCGACTGGTTTTGGTCCGAAAAGGCTGCGATGCAGCGTTCCTCCTTTATTCCCAATCGAACATGGTTGAAGAAGCGGTCACGTGGTCCTGGGAGCCCAAATCACCTGGTCACCACGCCAGCAGGCGACAACTTTCACACCAAGGTTCAACTCGAGTGACAGGACTGCACCCAAAAAAGGTCAAACAGGCTAGTAAGTTGTACCCTGCAGGCACGGTGACCAGGTAACTGGCGTACGCAGGAGGACGTGACCGCTTGTTCAACCATGTTCGATTGGGAATAAAGGAGGAACGCTGCATCGCAGCCTTTTCGGACCAAAACCAGTCGACTCAGCGTCCAAAAGACTACAATATATGGGCCAATCGCGGTCATCCGTGCTTTTATACGAACGAAATGGCGCTTTTAGTGACATTTTGCATACAAATCCCCATCTAGTAGGGCGCAGTCACCCAGTTTCGGTGGAAGTGCGCGAGTTCGATTGGGATTCAAGTAGGGTAGGAAGGGAGCGTCTCAGCTTCCTCGGACCACGACCATTCGACTCAGCACCCCGAAGACTACAACTGGTGAAATTTTAATTTTTGCCTTAACTTCCCCTTTAACTTTTTTGGTGCCTCACATGCACACATGTGGTTGTGGTACGTATGTAGTGAAAACAACAGGACATCCTGCATTGTGTGACCTGTGCGATTATTCCTTGCCCCACTTGAGACCAGAAAAGCCCAAGGATAGGGTTTGAAATTCGGCCAGGTTTTGCAGCATGAGGACAGGTATGCCATGGCAAAATGCATAGAAAAGCTGGTCTGAAACCTACTAATACTACCGGCAGTACCGCCAAAGAGCTCCAGGTGGCTCATTGGATTGATATTTTGGCAGTCTATTCTGACGTTAGGCAGCTTGTTGATCCATGCGGTTAGTTTTCTCTCTCTTTTTCTTTAGTTGCTGCTGCCTTTTGTCACAATTGGCGCCCCTACGGACAGAATGGTTATATGGGGTATACATACCTATAATTATATCCATTCATACATGCATACATACATTCTGACTTTCCCGTGTTCTGTCCATCTGTGTGTCCGTCCCGTCCGCTGTGTACCCCTTTCAGGCCAAGATCAGCAAACACTCGTGGGTGTTGAGTGAATGTCTTCAGCGTATTCCTGATCGCTACGACACTCTGATGGACCTACTGAACTACGGTCTGCTGCGCACCCAGTCCAGTGCTGTTCTGCAGCTGTCTGCTATCCCTGGTATTGAGCAAGGCACTTCCCATGCTGCTAGTGGTGCAGATGCTGCTGACTGGGCTGGGAGTATCGGTGAGTTGCGACTGTTGGCCAGTGGGTGCATCTGTAGAAGCAAGCTAGGCGCCCACACAAGCTCTCCCTCTCCTCTCCTCTCTCTCTCTCTCTCTCTCTCTCTCTCTCTCTCTCTCTCTCTCTCTCTCTCTCTCTCTCTCTCTCTCTCTCTCTCTCTCTCTCTCTCTCTCTCTCTCTCTCTCTCTCTCTCTCTCTCTCTCTCTCTCTCTCTCTCTCTCTCTCTCTCTCTCTCTCTCTCTCTCTCTCTCTCTCTCTCTCTCTCTCTCGCTCTCTCGCTCTCTCGCTCTCTCGCTCTCTCGCTCTCTCGCTCTCTCGCTCTCTCGCTCTCTCGCTCTCTCGCTCTCTCGCTCTCTCGCTCTCTCGCTCTCTCTCTCACTCTCTCTCTCTCTCTCTCTCTCTCTCTCTCTCTCTCTCTCTCTCACTCTCTCTCTCTCTCTCTCTCTCTCTCTCTCTCTCTCTTTTCTTTTTTCTTCTCTTTCTCTCTTCTTTCCTGTGAAGAACTCCTGCCATCGTCTTGTTCACCCAATTGCACTCCATTGATTTTATCCCTCCTGTAGCAGACTCCTCTCATAAATCAATTATGTGAGGCTGTCTTGTGACGTATTGGCGGCATATTGTCGTGTGACGTATTGTCGTGCAACGTATTGTCTTGAGATGTATTGTCGTGCTACGTATTGTCTTGCGACGTATTGTCACGTGACGTATTGTCTTGAGACCTATTGTCACGTGCCGTGTTGTCTTGTGACGTATTGTCTTGCGACCTATTGTCTTGTGACGTATCGTCTTGAGACCTATTGTCTTGCGACGTATTGTCGTGCGACGTATTGTCTTGTGACGTATTGTCACGTGCTGTGATTGACTACTAACCTGTGTAACTTGCCACATTCCTCACCACTTACCGGTACTGTAATTTCAGAAATTTCGGTGTGCTTTTATTTTCGGTACTTTCGGTGCGTCTGTGTCACGCCTAAAATTCCAACACACCGAACAAACACGAACACACATAATCCAATTGTGAACTGTTTCTCTGTATCTAAAATTTCTGTTCACCTAACCTGGCCTTTTACCCTCATACCGAAAATATTGAGCACTTCAAATTTCTGAAATTAGAGTATCCTGTATTCTTCCTGTCCCTGTTCAGGTGGTGGTGCTGAGGTGGATCAGTTTGGCAATCCCGTTTTCGAAACGCCAGTCGAGCGACAGCTGCGGGAGGAGAAGATCTGGGACGAGCGGGCGAAGAAACTTCGGTTTGCTGCGTAAGCTTTTCCACCTTCGTTGTCTGAATATTGCTTCTTTCTGTGCTTCCATGTAGGAAGACCGTTTCCAGATATGGAATCCTTGGGATTTTAAAACAATTTGTTGTTGCAGTTCTATTCATAAGGTTGAGGGAGTTGAACATGGAAGATTCTGAAGAAAAAATTGACTGTCCCCGCCAGGACTCGAATCAGAGACCCTCGCTTATTGCCAGGGATTCTCTTGTTGCATAGGTTTGATTTGTCTGGTTGTTTAGATGAGATTGCGGTGGTGTTCGTATGGATGCAGAATAAACTCAGATTGACTGGGTCTCACACGAGCCCGATACCGGTCACCAAACTGGTTTTTCAGGTGATGCTCGAACAGCTCATTCACTGTCAGGTCAAATGGCTGGGGCAATCCAGTGCGGCCAGCGGGGGATGAAAATCGCCTTGAAGTGACGGCCAGCTAGCTTCTTCAATACTGCGTCACAACAGTGTGTGTGTGTGTGTGTGTGTGTGTGTGTGTGTGTGTGTGTGTGTGTGTGTGTGTGTGTGTACATGTGTGGCTGCGCACCTGTGCGTGTGCGTGTGTGCGTGTGCGTGTGTGTGTGTGTGTGTGTGTGTGTGTTCGTAGGTTGAGTGAAGAGCAGCAGATGATGGTGAAGAGTCGTGTGCAGCTTCTGCAGTATAAAGATAGGCTTGTCACCTACGAGGTATGGAAGTTGATGACGGCTAAGCTTTGAAAATTAGCGCCTTGTGTGTGTTTGCAGGTATCTGTCTGTCTGTCTGTCTGTCTGTCTGCCTGCCTGCCTGCCTGCCTGCTTGCCTGCCTGCCTGTCTGCCTACTTGCCCACCTACCTCTATCCAAAGATCTTTAAGCTGCATTCGCATGTTGAGAGTGGTGGCATTCTCGGAGATGCAGAAAGGCCAGTCTGACTGACTCGCGTTTGGCATAAATTATTTATTCCTGTGCACTCGGAGTGAGTTGTGGTAACTCTAGAGGGTGTTCAGTACTCCTGGGTGTGGACTGTAGAGCCTCGCACACATAGACACAGGGGTACATAGAGCGGCGACTTACTCGATTTAGGCTAAGGCCTGCGGAGAACCCATAAGTACAAATTCAAATGCAAATTCTGTTGCTCTGATTCTCAGTTTCGTCAGCCAGCGCAAATCTATTATTTTGCTGTTCTTATCTGTTCTTGCCTGTTCTTCTCCGTCGTGCTCAACCAGTCTGTTCTTGGAAGGGACAGGGTCGACGAGGACTACAGCGTGGAGTTCTTCCGCAAGTTCCGTGATGCCAATCTCGTCCAGTCTGCACTGCAGTTTGCACAGGTATGTCAGTGCATGGGTCGTTGGTTACCAATTTACAGCATATGTAAGGCATACATGCAGTATGTGTGTTCTATTATCTGGTTCCCTCGTCTATCCGGGTATTTTTGTGGAAAATGAATGTGTGCGGTTAAAAGCGAGGTCTGACGGTATTGGTGTCTACTATTTTTTACTGCCCCCCCCCCCCCCCTGCCTGCAATATGAAGCTGCCATCGTATTTCGGACACGGTACGGTCTCTACGGTATTGACCGTACCACTCTTTGCCCCAGGTACTCCATGAATCAATGACATACGCTGATCTGGGCTCTGAATTTCCATACGTTTCCGCTCAGCCACCCCTCCCCCCATGAGTAAATTGTTCTTCAGATGGCTGACCGCACCACACTAAAATACCTTCCGACGCCCCTGGTGTATGATTCTTGTCTCAGCAAAAAAAGAGAGAGAAGAAAAACGTGTGTTCTGTATTTTTTGTATTTCTTGTCCCCTGCAGGCTGCCGAGTGGAAGTCCGTTGATGCATTGTTCTGTCTCCATGGAGATGAGACCCTGCCGCATAGGTAAGCAGTGTCATTGACTGAAATAACTCCTGCTGCCCACATCATTGGGGTCTGAGGAGTCTGGTGGCGTTTATCCTGATGCCATCTGGCTGTGGTGTGAACCGGTTCAATTTCTCTCCTGCACTGGTCGGCATTGCCAATGCTTGTGTCTTTGGAAAGTGTCGTTATGTCTTTGGAAATATTGAGCAATAGAAGTAGAATGGTGCTGGAGCTGATAGCCAGTTTGTTGTAAAATGTCAGTACTGTCGGTCAGTTTTGTGCAATATTATCGCATGAGCTGATTGTTTAGTAACTGGTGGTGTTAGTGGACATTATACCATAATTTGTAGTTCCTTGGTCCTTTTCTTTACTATAAAGTAGAATTGAATTCATAATTGAGATGTGTGCTACTTTTGCCGGATAGGACAAGTACGGTATTTTCCCGAGTATCAGCCGCACTTTCTAAAAGCCAGTTATCCACCCCCTGAAAAGACGGTGATTAGCAGAGTAGATGTCCCGCATATCGTGACAAAAAATCTGGGTGCGGAGTATATCCTGCATTGCAACTTACACTCCGACAAAATACGGTCTGTGTGCAGGTGTATTTTTATTTATGCGCGCCTGTGTGGTTAGATGCGTATTTGGAGGCGAAATGGTATGTCTCTTGCTGCTGCTGCTGCTTTTGCTACTGGTGGTGATGCTGGTGCTTCTGCTGTTGCTGCTGCTACTGCTGCTGTTTCCATGTCTGTTTCTACCACTGAGCAGATTGGCCATCCTGTCCCATTTCCCGGAGACTATGGATCCTAAGGAGTACAAGTACTTGCTGCCGGAGCTCAGGTAATGCTAGCCGAGTGCAGTGCAGTGCAGATCAGGGAGGCATGCCACCGATACGGTGCCACTAGAACAGAAAGAAACCACGTGTGCTACACGATCATGTGTGTGAGTATGTGTGTGTGTGTGTGTGTGTGGGGGGGGGGGGGTACCTGTCAGTATGCATTGACATGTATGTGGGAAGGTCAGAGGTCCTATGCATATGGAAATCACTGCATGCCGTTTGGAGAGCTAAAAGCGGATTACAGCTGACGGAAATCAAGAATGTGCATTGTCTAAAAGACACTCTGGGTAGATCAATTAGGACTGCAATTATGTGGCCGGTTTTTCTTCACATGGCACGTCATTGCTACTGTTGCTTTGGCTGTTGCTCTTCTTCCTCTTGTGACAGTGAGCGCGGTGATGTGGTGGAGTTTATCGGCGAGGATCAGCGACCGCGGGACTGGGCTGAAGAGTTGCTTGAGCGGTAAGTGACGTGTGTGTGTGTGTGTGTGTGTTCGTGCGTGCGTGCGTGCATGCACGCATATGTGTCTGATCTTGTGGATGTGATTGTGTATCTGTGTGTTTGCAGCCTGTGCATGCCGGAGTATGTGGTGTGGTGTGTGCGTGTCTCAAAAAGAGAAAAAATGGAAAAATGGAAAAAATGGAAAATGAAAAATAGGGATTCACTGGCCAGAAAAAAGCCACTTCAATCATCTGTGTGGTGTAGACCAGGCTCAAATTAGTGGCGGTCAATTCATCAGCCTTGCAAGCTGTTGAATGGTGTAATCCCAGCACAAGTACTATGTCTAGCATCGCCTGTTCACTATCATCGCTTCAGAGATGGGCATGTGTAAGCGTAAATGAGTGTGCATGCATGCTTATTAGGGCTGAAACGATCATTCAATAACATCTAACGATCAACCAATATCATTAACGATCGATTTATTGGTTTTATCGATTCTTGTTGGCTCTACCCATGTACCTCGAACACCAGTTTAGGAAGAACTTCCATGATACCTTTGCTATGTTCGAAATTTGTGGCACCGCACTGTTGATATCTGAATCTTGCCATCACCATCTGGCAACTGCTCTTATCTCCAACCTCTCCAGGAAATGCACCAATAAGACAAAGTCTTCTCTTCCAATCTCTTTCAAAGCCATACATCAATTGTATTGCTCTTGAAAGTACATGATTGCACTCGTATTCACTATCGGATGAATTACAAGGGCTAGAATGCTATCACTGATATGCATGCATGAAAAATCGTTAGCACTCATTTTGAACACTAACGATTATCGATTACACTCTTAACGATCGATATGCGAGTAATCGGTATAATTGTTTCAGCCCTAATGCTTATGTATCTAATCTTGTGGATGCGTGCGTGGTTAGCATGCTGTGTGGGCTTGCCACTTCACTAACTAGGACGACAGTGCATAGAAAGCAGTAGCCAGTCCCACCCCACTTAGTATTAATTTTGTGTTTCACAACTGTCTAGTATTTGTGTTTCTGTGCAAGCATCCGTTGTGAATGATGGGTGTTCACTTTTTTGTTTTTGTTTTGTTGACGATTCATGAATTCTGAAACTCAATCTCCCTACTCGCTTTTGTTTTGTTCATGAGTAGTAGAGCAAGCGATCCTAACCAGGGCTGACGAGCATTATGTACAGTGAAACCTGTAACTAAAGGCCACCGTGACTGGCGACCAGCCTGGTACTAAAGACCACTTTGCCAGGCACGGACAGCCTCACATTCATTATTATGGTTGTGCAGTGCAAACCTCTAACTAAGGACCACCTGCCACTAAAGACCGCTTTCTCTGGCCCCAAGGGGTGGTCGTTAGTCACAGGTTTTACTGTAGGTCAATACAGTAGAATCTGCTACTACAGACCACTTCACCAGGCACGGTCGGTCTCACATTCATTATGGTTGTGCGGTGCAAACCTCTGACTAAGGACCACCTGCCACTAAAGACCGCTTTCTCTGGCCCCGGAAAGGGGTGGTCATTAGTCACAAGTGTTACTGTATTTGTGTTTCCCCGTTTCCAGGACGTACGGTGCTCACACTGACGCCGGAGAATTCCTCTACACGGACACGCCATCACTAGCTGCATTCCGGTTAGTTGTCATTTTCGGGGTTTTTTCTTCTTTCTTTCAGCAGATCAGTGCATGTAGCTGTAATGCCTGGTGTTGAGCTGTGGCGTTGGAAGCACGTGTTCTTTGCAGTGTGTTGTGCAGCTTCTCCATCTCACCACGATGATTGTGTTGTCCTGTTGCTTCTTAGTAGCAGTGGCGAGGTTTCCTGCAGCTTCATTCGCAGGAAGTAGTTTAGAGCAGACGCGTTTGATACTATTGCAGAGCGGACGGGAAAGCGCGGGCCTGCTCTTAACTACACTCGTACCTCGGTTATCCAGACCCGACGTTACGGGCACTTCGGCCTACCGGGCACCCTTTGGGCGAGATTCAGTGGAAATATTACTACTCTTTTGTCACGTTTGTGGAAAATAAAGACGTCGCATGCCATACCCATGGCCTTTCCACATCAAAATGTATGTGATTCGGAGTTACGGACATTTCAAAATTACAGGCAGTGCCCGGTCCCGGACCGCTCGGATAAACGAGGTATGAGTGTACTTCCGCTGTTACTTCTTTCAAACACACTTCTGTCTGTGTGAGTACAGTGGCTTATACTGTATAAGCAGAAATATTTGTCTGGAATTTACTTTCGTCGTTTTCGTCCAAGGAACTTTTGGACTAAATTATTTGCCGGACTAATATCGATTTGTCCCGCTTTTCAATAAATTCTTATGATCCATGGACGAAATTTACAACCGGACGAACTCCCTTTCTTTGGAGTTGGACGAAATTATTGACCGACGAAATGTTCTGCCTGTACTGTACTCCGGAGACTACGGCAGTTTTGCAGTGTGCCGTGCAGCGTCTTCATCGACTCGCTGTGTGTTGTCTTGTCGTTTCTTGTCAACGCTGTGTCTGTACAGTGGCAAGCTGACGTCCCCGGTGGTGACTCACTGGTACAAGCAGCGCGCCGTTCAGATCGAGTCACTGGCTGGTTTGGTGGAGAACAGTTTGAAACTGATCACACTGGGCACGGAGCGCAACGTCAAGGTGGGTCGATTTATATGACATTTTTTTGTTTGTGTGTTTGACACATTGGCAGCATCTTTGCATGCTATTGTATCAGTCTTTCTCCTAATGCAGTAAAACCTGTCAAAGAGACCACCCTGATAAGGCGACCTGTCCCAAAGGACCACTCTGATAAGGCGACCTGTCCCAAAGGACCACTCTGATAAGGCGACCTGTCCCAAAGGACCACTCTGATAAGGCGACCTGTCCCAAAGGACCACTCTGATAAGGCGACCTGTCCCAAAGGACCACTCTGATAAGGCGACCTGTCCCAAAGGACCACTCTGATAAGGCGACCTGTCCCAAAGGACCACTCTGATAAGGCGACCTGTCCCAAAGGACCACTCTGATAAGGCGACCTGTCCCAAAGGACCACTCTGATAAGGCGACCTGTCCCAAAGGACCACTCTGATAAGGCGACCTGTCCCAAAGGACCACTCTGATAAGGCGACCTGTCCCAAAGGACCACTCTGATAAGGCGACCTGTCCCAAAGGACCACTCTGATAAGGCGACCTGTCTCAAAGGACCACTCTGATAAGGCGACCTGTCCCAAAGGACCACTCTGATTTTTTATTTTTTATTTATTTTATACGAAAGTCCACTATATTCCCGAATATGTGTGTGTGTGTGTGTGTGTGCGTTCGTGTGTGTGCGTGTGTGTGTGTGTGTGTGTGTGTGTGTGTGTGTTTGGACTCTGTCCACAGGGCCTGGACGGTTTGCATGCCGATTTGCTCACGCTGGAGACGCTGGTGTATGAGGTAGGCAAACCTGGGGTGCGTAGCTGGTCGCCCTTTTAGGGGGTGCCCGGCCGCATATGTGTAGGATGGCTGATGCATGTCATTCATGGTTATTATGTGCATGCTGAACCTTGGTCGAAATTTTTAGGGGGGGGGGGGGGTGCACCTACCCCATGCGGGCTACACCCCTGCAAACAGTACGATATGTTGAGGCATGAACACGTGGTGCAGGTAAAGATCGCTCTAGCCTGTCGTATGACAAGATGGACGCATCATCTACGCTGGCTCCCGATCTAGTCAATCCCTGCCTGAATCGGTGACATGATGCCAGCCATCTTGCTTCCACCATGGGTACATGGAGCCCAGAATGTGCCACTTCTGGATTTTCTGCATGGGTGTCTGTCATGGCGAAATTCTTGGGTGCATCATTTTTGGTGCAGATATGCGGCGGGAAATTGCGTAGTGCGTACAACTGAGCTGCAGTTGTGCAGAAAGAGACCTGCTTGAATCCTGCGTGTACGCACTGCATCACTAAAGTGGTGTAATCACGGAATTTCGCCGTGACAGCAAGCCATCAGAGCTGCCCACTCTGGGTTTCATATGCTCTTGTTTGCACTGTGCACGTGCCATGAACAGTTTCTACACAGACACACGCTCATACCGAATGTTTGAAATAACTTTAAAATACAGTAACGATGGCATCGAAGCACCAGACGAGACCACACGACGCTTGCAAACACCAGCACGAACGGTTTGTCAGCAACACTCCAAGCTGCCAAGCTTGTTCGTTCCTTTTAAGATATTAGGGACCTTTCGCATTTGCTACGAAACGAATGCGAAACGAAAGTTTGATTCGGCTCGTAATCGTTTCGTTGAAAACAGATTTCAGGTTTCGCAAGTCGTCATGCAAATGTGCATGGCAACTACGAATGCGGCCGGTAGCTTGGCGTACGGGTGTTTACACGCACACGTGCATGGATCATGGAATCAAGGGAAAATGTGTACTTTGCAAAACATGTGTACCTATCCAAATAAATGTGTACCTGACGGATTCGGAGCGTGCCACGAATGAAGAGGCTTCCATTCGTGAAAACGAGTTCTCCGCAGGGACTCTGACGAATCCTCGAACCCAGGTGACGAATCAGCATTCGTTTCGTATCCGTACGCGGGGTGCGAAAGGTCCCTAATAATGGGAACTCATCAACTTTTCATGCTACACCTGCTCTCCTCTGATGCGTCATGTGGTCTTATTTGGTCGGAAAAAAAAGAGCCTACTACCGTAAAAATCCCGCCAGAGCGCCCCTACCTCCGCCACCCTTCGAGTAGGTCCAGGTGGGGATGGGCGGATGGGCGAGTCCTACTTGCCGCATTCAGTGCTACATGAACAAGTACTCACCCTATGAAAACTGTTCGTGCATCTCGTACACCGACCAAAGGTCAAGAGCCAGGAGTCGTACAGACCCGTCAAAACTCAGGGTTTGTGCGATCCCTGGTCAAAAGGGTGGGCACTGTTGCGTACATTTCCAACGGGGTTGAGCACGCGTCTGCAGTACAGTACGACACCACAGACTGTGACGGAGTCATACGAGGATACAATCAATCACTTCCCTGACAAGAAGTCAGGGAGGGGCGGATGGGAGAGACGGGGCGCTCTGGCGGGATTTTACTGTACAAGTATGAATAGACGGACGAAATGAAGATGGTACCATCAAAGTATTGCCAACAATATTGTCTGAACAGTGAGCTGCACAGCCTAACTATTGCTGTGTGTTGTGTGTGTGCTCTGTGTGTGCTCTGTGTGTGATGCTCCGTGTGTGATGCTCTGTGCGATGCTCTGTGTGATCTTGTATTTTACTAATGACAATATGTAGTGTGGACATGATGTGACCTTGAAGCGCCTGCTGTCCATGCCGCTGAGCGAACAGCTGGAGTTGATACTGTCGCGGGTAAGACGAAAACACGCGTGCAGGTGCATGTATGTACACTTTTACTTTATCCATAAATTATAATTATGGAGTTTCAAAAGTCCATAACCAGGAGTGTGCAGCAGTCATCACTTTTTTTATGGGCCGCATGTGTGCTGTGCTGCCTCCATTACATCATGCAGGTACCGTATTATCTCAAGCGCAGTCTCTTGTAGAAGCCCAGTCTCTATTGTAAGCGCACTCCAATAGGGCTTCCAAGACATACACGCGCAGTCTCCAGTATAAGCGCAGGGCTTATAATGGAGAACTGTATGGATCATGTCCATGCATGTTTGACGTCACACAGTATCACATAAACACATGCTGTGGTAATCGTCTGTGCTCCCCGAGATCTAAAGTTCAGACTCAGTGTACCAGAGAGCACAAAACTGCTGTGGTAATCGTCTGTGCTCCCCGAGATCTAAAGTTCAGACTCAGTGTACCAGAGAGCACAAAACTGCAGTCCCGGTACCTGCTGGGAAACTTTGTGCTACTGATATAATGAAAAATAGTAGGCAATGTACATGTACCATGTGGTTGAACAATTATAAGCCCAGTCTCTAATATAAGCCCAGGATCAGGACTGGTTGAAAAATATAAGCGCGGGGCTTATGATGGAGATCTTACGGTATATTTGCGTTGTGTGGAAAATCCAATGAATCAAGCTGAAACTGGTGTGCTGGTACCAGGGTTCTGGGCAGGAAAAAATTGTCGGGGCGGGGGAGGGATCAGGAGAAAACAAACAGTTCGCTAAATTTTTTTCATGTTCCACTATTGCCTTGTTATGCAAAATGCAACATACGGGCGGAGCGAGAACCCGGACGGGTCAATTTGTGGCTGTATTTTCTTTGTGTGAACTGAAAAAACCTCCCCCCCCCCTCCCCCTTTGGCTAGAACCCTGATTGTATGTTTGAGTGCACAATTAGAATAATGTACATGGCGTAGTGCAGGCAGGTTACATAATGAAGACAGTGCGTCGCATACTGATACATCAGCACAGTTGCTTACTGTTAATTAGGAACACTTGATAGTTCTCGTAGAACCCTACTTCAAGTGGCTATCAGTGTTATGTTTCATCTTTCCCCTAAAGATGTTTTATATCGCTGAAGTGCTTTGCTTCAGGTGAAGTCTTCTTGTTCAGAATGCTAAACAAAGTATTGTCTTTGTGTGCATGGTGTGTGCAGGCTCAGTCCGACGATAGTGCAATGTTCGTACGTGATGTTCGCTGCTGGGCAATGCCATTGCTAAAAAATGCTGAGAAACGTGGTGGCAGAGCCAGTGGTGCTGACCTGCTTGCAGACTACTTGCTGAAACGTGCCAAGGTGAGAAGAATTGGAAAAAAAGTATCTCTCCTTGTATGTATGTATGTATGTGTGTGTCTGTGTGTCTGTGTGTGTGTGTGTGTGTGTGTGTGTGTGTGTGTGTGCGCGTGTGCGCGTGTGCGTGTGTGTATGTGCATGTGTGTGTTTCAAAAAATTCTACTTGGTCCGTTTCATCGCAATTGTCGCTTATCTATCGCAACTAAGAACAGGAGTTTTTTTTACCGCTCTATAAAATTTCCAATACGAATAGTGAAGAAGCATGATACAGGATTTCTGTCCGCCACAAGAAATAAATTCAGCGATGGAATCTGATGAAGCAAGTCGAAGAAAGGAAGCAAGGTTACAAAAAATGTACAAAAGAAAACAGCGACGGAGCGCCTTCTTGCACTCACGCTTTAGTTTATCCGACTCTGGCTCTGTATCACTCGAGCTGATGCCACTTGAGCTGACATTCACTGGTGTGTATAGCTGCTGGCGTAGAGTACCGTATCTCTTTCTTTCTCCGCTTGGCGTATAGCAGCGATGGGAAAGGAACAGTCGCGGCTGTCACTTTGGCACTTGGAGGAACGTGGGCAGCGTGACCCGTCTGTCACTACAGTACTGTGTGTTCAACAATGTTTTTGAATCAGGCACACACATCCCTCACCAGACAGCTGTCATGCGCTCTGCTGGATACGCTGACCACGACTCTTGTACTGCCGCTGCCAGGTCGGACAATGTCTTCTTTGCCACCATCGATCTCGCCATCAGTTTGCAGGCTTGCAAAGAATACCAGGTCATTGCAGTTCAAACATTGCAGTTCAAACAACTCAGCTGGCTGGCCTGGCCGTGACTGTCACGCTCTCCAGGTCACGTCAGGATGTCGATTTCCCCTGCTACAGTTCCGGTCTTTGAGCTGCGCTTGGCTTTTCGCTGCAGTGAATGTGTGCATTCATTCACTGCAGTGCATTCACTGCAGCGAAAAGTTTCCCACTTTCCCATCAAAATTGTATGAATCGCGATGCCACTGGCGCTAGTCGCGATGGTTTTTTTCTTTCTGGTCTCCTTTGATCTTGCCATCACAACCTCCCAAACGAATGTGAGTTAGATATCGAGATCGGACTGGGTTTTACCTGTCAAAAGGTGCGTGGGAGATAAGCGACAATTGCGATGAAACGGACCAAGTAAATTCATGAGTGTACACGCACATGGATCTGTTTTTCTCTATGTTTTCGTGAACACGATTATGTGCAAGTGAGAGATCATCCATACTTTCCAATCGTGTTTGTTATGCTTTGTAGGATGATCTTCGCTTGCCACTGGCTGTGTTCGAGGCGTCCGTTGGGGTAAGAGTGTGGGTCGGCGACAACTCCCACTATGTATCTGTCCCTTCTTCTCTCTCTTTGTTTGCCACGGCGACCCCGTGTGCTGTCTGTGACTTTGAGCCTCATTTCACTGTACTACTTTTTTCTCTTTTACGTTTACTTTATACCAGGCGCGGGCCATCCCCTGTACATACGTGCCACCATTTTTCTTTGTTTCAATAAATGGTACATTCTAAAAAACTAAAAAAACTAAAGAAAACTATGTGTCTGTCTGAAGTAAAGGGTGCAGTCTAGTTCAATATACACAGATGCATGTACCTTGTTCCCCTCCAACTTCTCCCAGTGTTGCCCAATCCTAGCTGCACGCTGTCTGCATGTTGCACTTTGATTCTGAGGCATTCACCCCTTTCCCCGCTAGCCATTCACTTGCAACACAGTGAAACTCACGTAGTACATACATACTCTCTTGAGATCTGGAGACATGCATACTCTTGCTTAGTACGGACATTGTCCGAAGCACAGGGTGTATTCGTACATACAGTCAACTTCGCTTATAACGACAATCGGCGGGGCATCAGAAAAGTGTCGTTATTCACAAAGTGTCGTTATACCCGAAGTCTCATTGTATGTATTACAGTTGGATGGGACTTTGCTCTGGGCATGGAAATTCTGTCGTTATTCGCGAATTGTCGTTATATGCGCAGTCGTTATTAGCGAAGTTGACTGTACTGACGTTTGTTGTTATAAGAAGTATCTCAGATACTATGTACACTTTGCTGCTACCCATGTCAGTACATCTTATCACACATGCATTGTACTGGATACTGGTATAGTAAAACCTGTAACTAAAGACCGCCGTGACTAGCGACCAGCCTGGTACTACAGTAAAACCTGTAACTAAAGACCACCGTGACTAGCGACCAGCCTGGTACTACAGTAAAACCTGTAACTAAAGACCACCGTGACTAGCGACCAGCCTGGTACTACAGTAAAACCTGTAACTAAAGACCACCGTGACTAGCGACCAGCCTGGTACTACAGTAAAACCCGTAACTAAAGACCACCGTGACTAGCGACCAGCCTGGTACTACAGTAAAACCTGTAACTAAAGACCACCGTGACTAGCGACCAGCCTGGTACTACAGTAAAACCTGTGACTAAAGACCACCGTGACTAGCGACCAGCCTGGTACTACAGTAAAACCTGTAACTAAAGACCACCGTGACTAGCGACCAGCCTGGTACTACAGTAAAACCTGTGACTAAAGACCACCGTGACTAGCGACCAGCCTGGTACTACAGTAAAACCTGTGACTAAAGACCACCGTGACTAGCGACCAGCCTGGTACTACAGTAAAACCTGTGACTAAAGACCACCGTGACTAGCGACCAGCCTGGTACTACAGTAAAACCTGTAACTAAAGACCACCGTGACTAGCGACCAGCCTGGTACTACAGTAAAACCTGTAACTAAAGACCACCGTGACTAGCGACCAGCCTGGTACTACAGTAAAACCTGTAACTAAAGACCACCGTCACTAGCGACCAGCCTGGTACTACAGTAAAACCTGTAACTAAAGACCACCGTGACTAGCGACCAGCCTGGTACTACAGTAAAACCTGTAACTAAAGACCACCGTGACTAGCGACCAGCCTGGTACTACAGTAAAACCTGTAAGTAAAGACCACCGTGACTAGCGACCAGCCTGGTACTACAGTAAAACCTGTAACTAAAGACCACCGTGACTAGCGACCAGCCTGGTACTACAGTAAAACCTGTAACTAAAGACCACCGTGACTAGCGACCAGCCTGGTACTACAGTAAAACCTGTAACTAAAGACCACCGTGACTAGCGACCAGCCTGGTACTACAGTAAAACCTGTAACTAAAGACCACCGTGACTAGCGACCAGCCTGGTACTACAGTAAAACCTGTGACTAAAGACCACCGTGACTAGCGACCAGCCTGGTACTACAGTAAAACCTGTAACTAAAGACCACCGTGACTAGCGACCAGCCTGGTACTACAGTAAAACCTGTAACTAAAGACCACCGTGACTAGCGACCAGCCTGGTACTACAGTAAAACCTGTAACTAAAGACCACCGTGACTAGCGACCAGCCTGGTACTACAGTAAAACCTGTAACTAAAGACCACCGTGACTAGCGACCAGCCTGGTACTACAGTAAAACCTGTAACTAAAGACCACCGTGACTAGCGACCAGCCTGGTACTACAGTAAAACCTGTAACTAAAGACCACCGTGACTAGCGACCAGCCTGGTACTACAGTAAAACCTGTAACTAAAGACCACCGTGACTAGCGACCAGCCTGGTACTACAGTAAAACCTGTAACTAAAGACCACCGTGACTAGCGACCAGCCTGGTACTACAGTAAAACCTGTAACTAAAGACCACCGTGACTAGCGACCAGCCTGGTACTACAGTAAAACCTGTAACTAAAGACCACCGTGACTAGCGACCAGCCTGGTACTACAGTAAAACCTGTAACTAAAGACCACCGTGACTAGCGACCAGCCTGGTACTACAGTAAAACCTGTAACTAAAGACCACCGTGACTAGCGACCAGCCTGCTACTATAGTAAAACTTGTAACTAAAGACCACCGTGACTAGCGACCAGCCTGGTACTACAGACCACTTCGCCAGGCACGGATGGTCTCACACTCATATAATGGTTGTGCGGTGCAAACCTCTGACTAAGGACCACCTGCCACTAAAGACCGCGTTCTCTGGCCCCAAGGGGTGGTCGTTAGTCACAAGTTTTACTGTAGATCAATACAGGAAAACCTGTCAAGGTGACCACTCGGATAAGGCAACCACCTTTCCAAGAAGACCACTGAAACCATGCAGGAGCAAGGGATGCTATTTCCAGTCAAATGACCCTGGATAAAGAGACCACCTGGTAACAGAGACCACATTTTAAAGGTCCCTTGAGTGGTTGTCTTAGACAGGTTTCACTGTACTAAATACGGTTGGTGTAGTGCTCGCAGAGTTCTCTCCATGCCCTGATCCAGTGCTTGTTCACGCTGCTGCTGTTGTTGTTGAATTCTGTCTTGTCTGCAGAGCAAGCCGATCATCGACGACAAAGCCAATCTTGTGCGCATCGCACTCAGCTGCATCTACGCCTGTGAAAGGTAGGTGTCGTGTTTTCCGGAGTATAAGCCGCACTTTAAACGCCAGTAGTTCACCCCCAAAAGGTCTGTGTGGCTTCTACTACTGTGCCTGTGGTCAAATTAATTGTAATGAACAGGGTGAATATTCATGGTTTGCGGGAAAGATGCGAAAATAGGGTAAACGTCTGTATTTCGTTACACAAGAGAGATTGGAAGCGTTGTCACAGCTCTGAGTTTCACGTATTACTACGATCATCAGGCAAAGGTGTATTTCGTTATAAATAATCTGGTTGCAGCTTATGCTCCAGTGCAGCTTATCCTCCAGTGCGGCTTATCCTCCAGTGCGGCCTATGCTCCGCAAAATACGGCAGGTAGCTAAAGTGGCAGCAGCCGAAATCCATCCCCAGCTTGGTGTGCTTGCATGATCGCCAAACTGCAGCACATGCTGGCTAACTATCGAAATAGAGACCCGCTAGAAACGGCGCTGCAGTCGAGCACGAAAACCAGCGGTCGGATTTCAGTTGCCACCAGTGTAGAAAAAAGAACCCAACTTCCCAGGTTGGCAATGAGAATGCTATTCGCAAAAGCCGGAATTTGCACCGAGCCTATCTTTTCACAACACACATAAAATACACTGCTGCATGGTATTTTTTATGATTGTCCTGCTGACAGTCATGACATCTTATTACTTCCCATGCTGTTAATATTTGATCATATTAATCTATCATACTATTTTATTTTTCATCGTAGCCTAGGAGCTGTGGCATCATTTATGATCCACAGCAAGAAGGCAGCAATGCCTGTACCTATGGTGAAGTAAAATAAAGGTAACATAACATGTACGATCCACAGAGGGTGGTGGCATTCCTACGTATGCGGAGAGCTCGGCCTCCAGCAGAGTCTCACGTGAACCGTCGTTTTTTTAATTTTTTCCCTTCTTCTTTGAATTGATCTCCAGGTGTTCTCCGTGCTGATCGTTTGCCTGTGTTTTCTGTTGTGCCGTGGTCTGCAGTGAAGATCAGCTCAGCCTGTCGGATGCTATTGTACGCTGCTTGCCGTCATCCAAGTCAAGGTATGTCGAGAAGGAGTGGAACTACCATAGATCATGTGACGCTGGGCGTCTGTTGTGACAAAGTGGATACACTTTGTTGTGTGTCCACTACGTAGTCGCTTTGAAATTCTCCACCGCGGTGGCCAATTATACAGTCAGCTTTGCGTATAACGACACTCGGCGGGGAATCAGAAAAGTGTCCTTATACCCGAAGTCTCATTATATGTATTACAGTTAGATGGGACTTTGTTCTGGGCATGGAAATTCTGTTGTTATTCGCGAATTGTTGTTATATCCGCAGTCGTTATTACTAACTTATTAGCGAAGTTGACTGTATATGGAATCACGTTCGGGTGCATAATGGAATTCTGTCAGCCAGTAGTGGGCGCACACAGACTACCATCGGACTACTGTACTGTCTTTGTGCTATGGTGTGAGATGTCTTGTACTTGAGAGCCTGTCATGTAGCGTACCGTACCGATGACAAGACATGCGGTTATTACATGCACGCCAGCGCATCCAGCAGAATGGCGGTGGGCGGTTGCAGCAAACTTCCCAGTGCAGTTCCCATCTAGGACTTCGCTCACTGTTTTGACAACAACTGTACAGGCAGAACATTTCCTCGGTCAATAATTTCGTCCAACTCCAAAGAAAGGAAGTTCGTCTGGTTGTAAATTCCGTGCATGGATCATAAGAGTGTATTGAAAAGCTGGACAAGTCGGCATTAATCCGTCATTTAATTTAGTCCAAAACCTCCTTGGACGAAAAAGACGAAATTAAATTCCAGACGAATATTTCTACTTGTACTGTATACAAATTTTCTTTGCCAGTTTCACCAGTCTACGCCGCTCCTTCACTATCAGATGTTACGTCGAAGGTGCACCATTATTTCGGTAGTTTGATGGTCGTGTGTTTCCTCGTTCCTATGTGTTTGCAGCACTGCAAAGCAGCACCGAGATCTTCTGCAGCAAGTCGACAAGCTTGAGGAACATCTGGCGTAAGTTGACACCCAGTTCTCTTCACACAAACAAGGAACATTGAAAAATCCCAATACATGTACCGTATTTCCCCGATTGTAAGTCGCGCCTTTTTACACTGAACTTCAAGGGCAAAGAATGGGATGCGACTTACAATCGAAAGTGACTTCTTACTTATGTGAATAATGCATTGAGACGATTTGGTTTGGACGTGAGAATGGGCTGCGACTTATAATCGGGGAAAGACATGTACTTACATAGAAGGCTAAATAAAGTTGTCTTGCTATAACTCTGAGTTTCACGCAAAAAAAGAAGATCTTCAGACAGCCCTTATTCTTGGCCTTTGCGACAACGTAATCGCCAGGCTCTTTGCCCTGTGCAAAAGCGTAACCGGCAGACTCTTGGCCCAGTACGAACTTAGAGGTTGTGTGATTGCGTCTTCATTTGAGATGCTGTTGTGTTGAGTGGCATCACATACAGGGATTTTTAACTCCTAACATGTATCGGATTGATTTGCTACTGCTAGCGCCTGTGCTGTTTTACTTGCTCCCAGAAATCTCCTTGCACGGCTAAACGTCATGTTCGCTGTTGGTGTGTATGAGGGGGCTGTCTGTGTGCGCATGTGCGTGCGTGCGTGCTTGTGTGTTTGTGCTTATGTGATATTATGCAGCGCGGCTGAGGTGATCTGCAGCTATGACGTCAAGGTGTCGATTCGCACTATCAACAATGTTCAGGTGTGTACTCTAGTGTGCGAGTGTGCGTGCGAGTGCGTATGCGAGTGCGTGTGGGTGCTGCTTGCATGCAGATAGCGGCTGCGAGAGTACGTCATCATGTTTGCTATCCAGTGCTTGCGCAGGACTGTAATATAGCAGTCTATACACATGTATGTTGTGTATGAAGTTTAAGCAACTGTGGGGCGGTTTAGACCGATATCCGGGACCGGCGGTCTCTTGGACAAATGTTACTGTACATTCAGCCTTGCCGATAGCGACCACTCTAGAATGACAACACTTTTCTCCACCCAGATCGAGGGTCGTTATTCGCAATGCTGACTGCACCAAAATATCACGCCGCCGACTCATTCTGGTTTCACAGATCATTTTTTGTACATGGTGTTCTCATATGTGCGCTGCTCCCCTTCGTGCATGTTTTATTTCCAGAGCGACGCCGCTGAAGTGGAGAAAGTGTTGATGAAGCTGGCGCGGCATGTTGCCAGGAGGTATGTACATATATTGTATTTATAGCGAAAGAAAAAAGACCAAAAAACTACAAGTTACGCTATGTTGTCCACTAGCACCACCAGTTACTAAACAATCAGCTCATGCGATAACATTGCACGGCACTGACCGACGGTACTGACGTTCTACAACTAACTGGCTATCAGCTCCAGCACATCTTGGATGCACACTCCAACAGCCTTCCAACTTGGAAGGTTCTAAGTTATTATGTTAACATAGGAGGGGAAGGTGAACGCAACCAAGACAAGCACGAGCTGTATCTGGTAGTTCCTTGGTCTTTTTTCTTTTCTATCAATTTATCCTTGGCTCTCCATCCGAGTCCATTATTGTATTTGTATTGCATTTTGTATGTATTTAGATTGGCAACCAAAACAGGCAGGCAAATGGCCTAATGACTATGGCACCACTGTGGCACCTAGAGTTCCCAGTGAACAGGCAGCAACCTGTTGGGGGGGGGGGGGGGGGGACTCCCCAAGTAAAACAAATAAAACTACTAAAAACGATTCGCCCACTACCAATACTAGGGAAGCGAATGAAGAGGAGATGACGAAACAGAAGTACATGGGATGTATGGCCATGTAGTGCCAGGGCATGTTTCATCTCCGCAGCATTGTTACGAGTGCAGTTGCGTGTCAGTTATCCGACACCCTCCGGACCGGACACTGTTGGATACTGTAAACCGCCCAATGTTTGCGTCACTAAATTCTCGCTATCTCTCAGAACCAGCGAGTTTACGATGGCAAATGTTCGCGGAGCACTGTGGCAACACACATATACACCCACTGTTGAAGTTTGATTTGACGATGGTTAAAACAATTTAGTTATGCTCTTGCAATTTCAAATTTGGACTTCACGGAGAATTTCAAAGTTTTTAGGAAATTAGAGGCCACATGCCGCATACTGCTCTTTTCTCTCTGATGATTTTTTTCTTTCTTTCACAACTGGCTTGCAAGTGTTGAGTTTCGGAGAGAAAAGAGCAGCACGTGGCATGTGGCCTCTAATTTCCTAAAACTTTGTTATGCTCTTCTTTCAAAATTAGCAAACATTAATACGTCGCAAACATTGTGCAGTCTACAGTAAATAAATACTCCAGATCGAAATTTTAAAAAATCATCAGCAAATTGTATTCGTAAATGAGAAATATTCATTGGTTTGAGGGAAAGATGCAAACGGGTAAAGTCTGAAGAAAAAATTGATTAACACCACCTGGACTCGAACCCCTTCTTTCCTTCTTTCCTTCCATCCATCTTTCCTTCGTTCATTCCTTCCTCCGTTCGTTCGTTCCTTCATTCATTCATTCACTCATTCCTTCCTTCCTTTCTCTCTCTCTCTCTCTCATTCCGTCGATTGCTTATGCAGTTTTCATTTTTTTGCTATGTGTATCCTGACAACTCTTCTCTTGCAGATCGTGTATGGAGTACTCTGAGTATAGAGCACTGATCGATGATATCCTCAGGCTGCAGTGTGGTGTCTTCAGTGCAGTGACCGAGTACCGTTGCTACGAGGTGAGAATGACCGGGAAGCACTGTCCAGCGAGCGCCTGGCCTTGTATGTGTGTATGTGTATTTGTGTGTGTGTGTGTGGGGGGGGGGGGGTATGTGTGTGTGTGTGTGTGTGTGCGTGCGTGCGTGTGTGTGCGTGCGTGTGTGCCTCTGTGTGTGTGTGTGGGGGGGGGGGGCTGTGTGTGTGTGTGTGTGTGTGTGTGCCTGTGCACGTGCGTGTGTGCCTCTGTGTGTGTATGTGTGTGTGTGTGCGCGCGCGCGCGTGTGTGTTTTTTTGTGTGCGTACTTGCATGCATGCTCGATCTTCTCCTGCCCACCCTTTCCGGAAATTGTATTCATTCTGCGTGCTCACGCTTTTTCTCCTCTGTTCAGATCGTAGCGCGTGCACTGCTTGCGTCTGGCAAGCAAGCTCACCTGGTTCTTGCCGACGGTCTGCTGTCAGGCAGTGATCAGCCGATGGTGACCACCATTCGCCCGGCGTCCGCTACGGGTGTGGGCGGTGGCCGCACGCCTTCCTCCGGATCTCCGAGTCTCAGTAAGTAGGTGTTATAGCTGGTGCTGCTGTCGGCACACTGGCTGATTGAGTTTGCATCCCGTGCCAGAGAGGCCGCCGTGTTACGTAATGTCAGTACTGTGCTGCCAGGCAGTGCCGAAGAACGGCCAGCCTAGAATGTCACCAAGCACAGCATACCAATGTATTCCACGGTCACTCATATGTACGTAGTGTAAGATATACTGAAGTAAAACATAAGACCGGTCTAGGCTAGGAAGCTGAAACTCTTTGGGCTCAAGATAATTCTATGGCGAAAGCGGAGGAGAGAGTGGCCATAGTAGTGTCGGTTGAGAACTGAGAGGTCAGCCTCGTAGCCTAGGCCGTTTCTGTTTTATGTATTACAGTCTATGACTCTGAGTTACCGTGTGTACATGTATATTGGTATGCTGTGCTTGGTGAAATTCTAGCCTGGTCGTTCTTCGGCGCTCCGTTCTTCGGCATCCGACAGTACAGTCAGACCTCGCTTATCCGGTCCTCCTTTATCCGGATCCCTCGCCATCCGGAAGAAAATAGCTGATTACAGATGTACAGCATACGTGATACATGCAACATAACTGGTGTTGGGTTATCCAGTTCCCTTGCCTATTAAGCGAGGTCTGACTGTACTGTACTATGCTGGTTACCCTGTCAGTCTCTCTGCTCATTTTTCATTCTTTCTCCATCGCTTTTCTTCAGACTCACTCCGCCACCGGTCCAGCTCGTTGCAGCCGATAGCGTATCGTATTCCGTTCGACAGGTCGCTGACACTGGTGGTCGACTCTGCCAGAGAGTACTTCAACTCTGCGGCAAGCCTGGATGACCCCGACATGATTCTTGCATGGTAAGTACAATGGTGCTGCTCGATGAAATCTGTTGGCATGAGTCAATGCTACGCCTGGGGCTCTGCAACCCTAGGC